ATTAGATTACACTACATTTGAAAGGCAGATGAGAGTTTAAGAGTGACAAGTGGGCAGGCGCTAAAAATAAGGGCATGTTACTTACTTTCCAACAGTGCTTTGTCTCTGTGCTTTCTTTGATGTTGTTTAAGCTTTGAAGTAAAGAAATACTTTGCAAGAGTCTGAAAGATACTTCTGATTACTGTATTGATAAGAACTGGTTTTGAACAAAAATCTCTTCTAGTTGCTCATTGCTTCTATAATGCCTGAGAAACTGGGCAAAGACAAAAAACAGGACACCTGCTTTCTGGTGTTAGTGTAAGCATTATGATTTTCAAAACCAGAGTTTTGCAGTCATTGAATTACTGCAATAACATTACAGAATTGTTACAACTTCAGGAATAAGATCTGAGACAAGAGACAAATTTACCATCCATCTGCAGAGATTTCCTTGAAAGGCCAGGTGGTAAACCATAGGTTCATTTTGCAGATTGGCTGGCTGTAGTCGTCTGTGCCATTAACCCAGTGGAACAGCTATCCCTGGTTTTTTGCTGTGTGGATGTTAATTTTAAGTTGCTAGTTGCTGTTGCCTGTTTTGTGTTGCTTATTCGTTTTCTTGGTATGGTGTTGGTTTGGGGTTTTTTTTTTTAAAGCTGAAGAGAATTTTTATAATGTATCATCTCTCTTCAGTCACAAATTATTACCTACAGGGATCTTCTACTGATTTGTTTCACCTTTGACAACTTGCATAATTCTCTTATACCTAAGCAACCCAGCTCAGAAATAAGCCTTAAAAGACATTTGCAAATTTGCTCAATTTTACAGGTAATACAAGATATAATAATCTGAAAAATGTGATTTGGTGATATCTTTGTTACATATCTTAGCCTGAATAGACAAAGCCCTAATTAACATTCATACAATTATCTAAGTCTTCTAAAGTCCATCTGTACAGCTTGTCTTAATGATATATACATAGCATAGCAATCCCAATAAATACTAAGCACATACAATGCAAGTATTTTTAATTTAAACCATACCATTGATTAAGGATGGAGTGTTCTGAAACCATTGTACATGTCTGTATTTCAGTGTATGGTTGTCTTAAGACTTGAACACCTTCCTGCTGAACTAGAGTCCTGCACATATCTGGGAGCCGTTACTCCAGCAACAGCAGTATCCAAACAAGTCAGCTTCGGAAATGACTAATTTAGCCTCATATGGGTCACTTTACTGGAATATATAACCCAGCTCAGGTGTTGCAGTTACTCAACCTGTTAATAAATATAAATACCAAATTTACACATTTTCAGAATAAAATAAAAAAACTGTTGCTCCTAACGTGTATAACATGCATGCTTTTTATCTACCCTGCACAGAAGAGTTAATTCAGCTTTCAACAGTCTGTAGCCTGTGAAGCAAGAAGAATAACTCCTGGCTGGTTTATGGTTTAAAGCATGATTGAATGTACTAACAGGGCTCCATGAAGTACTCATTTCAATATATGTAATGCATTTTTAAAATATTAAATCTCTATACGTCTCATCCTCAAAATAAGTGGAGCATCTCTATTGAGCTTAAGAAGCAGAAGCAGTAAAGCCCAAAAATACTGAGACAGCACCAGTGATCTGAATCTTGGAATTTTATTGTCTGGTCAGTAACTTGTTGATCGTTGTGTGATCGTTCATGTGACTTCAGCTGCTCTTTGTTTCTGTTTCTCTCTTTGTCAAGTGGGGGTAGCTTTTCACTGCAGAATAATTTGAGGTTTACAGGGGTTTACAAATGTCTAAGTTACAAAACATCATTGTGATAAGTATAAAAAAAGTCTTTCCAGGAACATTTTAACTCAGTTGTTCCAATGATCCGTTCCTAACATTTAGATTATGGTAATTAAGGTAAATACTTTTTGTCTGATCAAGAAGATTATAAATAATCTTAGAAATTTCTAAGACTAGATTATTTTTAGTGTTTGTATGCAGGTTCTTCTGGGGAAGTATGCAGGGACATCACAAACAGTGTTTAAACCTCACCACGGCAACTGATTTTTCTGTGCTCTATCAATAACATATTTGCAGAACTGCCAGATGGGGAGAGAAACTGCAGTGAGAAAATAATGGTCAGGTTTGTAGTACAACAAGAAAAAAGTATCAGACATTAGATACATGATTTTTAAAGCATATTTTAACTAACTTGAAGCATTTCACAAACTTCTTAAATAGAGGCTTTGCATTGATCTCTCTGCAAGAATGACAAAAGGAAAAGGAAGAAAAAAATTATATAGCTAAAGCTGACAAAAAGCCTAACCAAATACAATTAATATGGAATACAAATATAGTAAATATTTGGATGGTAAATCTTGTGGTAGTATCGGAGTCAGAAGGTCACTATGAGCTTTGCAGTTAAGATTTCTAATAGGGTATACACAGTCTCTCCTTCCTCCATTATGGAGAAGATGGGTAAAAAAGCAGAGCTTTGGAAAATGTGATTCTCCCAGGCTCTTCTGTATACAACAGCATTAAAAACAAACATTTAAAGACAGGAAACTTGCAAAACCTCAGTGCATTTTTTAACCCATTTTCAGGCAGCATTAGATCAACAACAGAAATAATTGCTGTCAGTTTGTACTTTTTGACCAATAATTCTCTGTATTTCCTGCAAGAAACTTGAGTGATGCAAATGACCTTATTTTTACAGCATGCTTTTATTAAATAGTTTATTATTTTGGCAGACTAATAAAGATTTTGGTATTTGCTTTTATTTGCAATAATATTACCACCACATAAAAAAGGATTTTATGTTCTTTTTGAGGAACAAGGAGGATAAAAGTGTTGATGGATAGTGCAACTAAGGCATCAGCAATGAGCTGGAAATGAGACACATAAATATGAAAGCAGAGCTAAGAAAATAGAACTGCACCCTTGGCCTTTCTTAAAAGAACACGCACATGCCATGGTTCATTCATATAGTTACAGAAACTCCTTTTGTTTTCAGTGAGTCAGTGAAAATATGCAAAGACTAAAGTACTACCAAGATTCTCAGTTATTTGGGATATTTCTGTAGTTAATGTGGTCATGAAATGTGTCTAAACATGTAGATAAATGTCTGGTGATGATGCCGATTTCTTTGTTGTATATTTTATTTGCAGTATAAATTTGTCCCTCTTTCTAGCTGTATCTTAGCTAAAGGTGGTGAAACAATGTTGGTTTTAAGTTTTCCCTTTTTTGCCCCCAGACAGAGCTAATTCTTCAAAGATCAAACAGCAAAGACCTGGTGGCCAGGTTAGACAATGACACACAAAATTTAAAAATGAAGTTTATCAGTTCTCCAATCAAAAAAGCCAAGATAGCATGTAATAGCATTAAACTTATAGTATCTTGAATGGCAGGATCACTTCAGATTGAAAAAATTGTGACTTATGTATTCAGTCTACAATAATCTGAGCTCCTTGACAACTGGTGTGGTTGGATGCTAGTGGTATTTGGCAGTGCATAAGAGTTGCTCAGCACCTATTATAAACTGAACCTCAATTCCTTAAGGTAAGGAGCATATTTATTCAAACAAATAATTGGATGTGCCTTAGAAATAATTATATTCCGTTGATCGAAGGTACTTAGATCTGAATTTTACACCTCAAAAAGATATCTGATACAGAAAAATATAAACAGAGCAAATTCTACACAATAAAAGGTGAACAGGCAAACAAAACTTCGCCTCACTGGAAATTTTTATGTTCCATTTGCCTTTTCTAAAAGGCAGTCAGTAAGTAGGAATCCTGAAGTATGAGTTTCGTAGAAGAATAAATCTAACAATTAATTATATGTCAAGGCTTAAGAATCAAAAAAACTGCTTATGCCCATTGCCAGTCATTCACTCCCTGTCAGTAGTAGTTCACATCTTTCCTGGGATGGCATCCAACCACAGTGGCATCTAAAATATAGCAGGCTATATTGTTACAGTTGGAGGTGAAATCGAAAGTTGCACCAAACAGAAGTGACAAATTCACATTGCTCTGTGTTGCCTAGCAATAAGAGATGAGTTTATTATGAACACTGGCTCTATCCATTGCAAAGGGGCTTTGTATTCACACCAAAATGCCACTACTTTTACAGGCAAAAGGGGCAAAAATAAAGTGGGCAGAAGGAGGAAACAGCCGTAGTAGTTGTAAGCACTTTCTGTATTTTAAGATTCCTTTCTGTCTCTTAGGAACAGCTCAGGAAGGAAAAAGCAGAGCCTGCCTCTAGCTGAACTCTTGAGATTGGCCAGGTAGCTTGTTACTGATCTTAATCGTTCTTTCACATGCCCTTAGTAGTGTCTGAATATTCCAATACATAAAATCTTTACTGAGTGTTCTCAAAAGCTACTCAGTAGTGTTGTTTTAATTGTGCAGAGCTTTCAATCTGCTTCAGCTTCCACCTCCCCCCCCCTTCTTTTTTTTATTTTTTTATTTAAGGAAAAGGACAAGACTTCAGGGAGGTTTTCACCCCTCAGACACCTTGCTGTTTTCCTTTTTAACCACTGTTTATATGGGAGAACATTTATTTCTATCTTGGACATTGGACTATGTCTGTCAACCTATTAAGTACCTAACTGTTCAAATAAAAAGGATTTTCAAGAAGTATTTAGGTATCACTGAAAACCTTACCTGGGTACCTACGCACATTTTTAGGCATCTAATAAATTTTAACACTCCACCCAATAGCTCTTATTAGAAAAAAGATCTCAAACGACTGATCTGTTTCTGTGCTTTTATGCCATCTGCATTTTTGACAACTGAATATTTTTGACAGCATGGTCCATTGTGCCCAAGTTCACATCATTTTTTTCCCCTTTCTCTTTTTTTAAACATCACATGACTACATATATGATAAGAAAATGGTTTATATCACACATTTTGCTTTACAGATTTGGGTTCACAGCAGGTTTTTGAAGTGACATACAAGAAGTGTTTCTTTCATCAGGATGCATTTATATTATAAAACCAATAGATTCATAAGATGCTGTGTAAGACAAGTACATTGAAGTTACAAAACAGTTGTGATTTTGAGAGGCTTTTCAAGCAAATACAAAAACTCAGGATGAAGTTTAGAGATGATATAATTTAAGTAAAATAGGATAAAGTCTAGATAAAAAAATTATCTCATATATTTATGAAATAGTTAACCAAAAATGCTAATGTAGAAGTCTCTCCTTAGCTTACATGTTCACCTAGACAAATTAACTGAACCTGTGAAAGAATGAGAATTTAATTTTTATATTTTCTGTGCAAAATTCAGCTATTGTCTCAGAGTCTCATTTATGCAGTAAGCTTTGCAGGTACAAAACCGAGGTACTTAACAATTTGTAAATGTTTTTGTAGAACCTTTAGTAACTTTGGTCCTTTCTTTATTTCAGATTCAACGTGTTGCAAACAAACATATTCCACCTGTTACAACAATCTGGCATATTACTTTCTTGATACGTGATGATACAATACCTCTCAGGTTTGCCGAGTAGCAAAGAGAAATGTAAGCAAATGAAAAGGTTTTCCACTTTCACAGTTTTTTTTCTGCTTGGGGTTCTGTTTGTCTGAGAACTGTATGAATAGAAGCCATATTTTATAGTATTTCTTTAACCTCTGCCATCTGGTGTAGGTTAGTTTTTCCACTGCCAACATATCCTAGAGGCCCCAGTACCAAAATGTTTAATTTCTAAGTAAACATTTGGACTTTATAAATCCAGTTTAAAAAAAATAGAGCATTATTTTTTTAAACTATATATTGCATTTGCCACTACGGATGACATTAATAACACATAGACAAGTGTGTGGGTTTAAGTGCTTCTGACCGTGACTGTTTTCTGTAGCAGAGCTCCAGGGATGTCAGGTCACCCAACATCTTTAATCACTGAGTCATGCTCAGTTATCATGAAGAAACTTGAATATACCCTATTGACGTACAGTCTGAAGTTGTGTCAAGGGATTTGCACCACCATAGCCAAAACCTTCCAAATCAAGCATGGTTTCACACAGATACTACTTACCCATGCCAAAGCTTTAGCTGTTCTATTTTTTTTTATATAAACTGGAGTTACTTAACTGCAACAAGAAAGGATTGTAACTACAAAGCAATTTCGGAAAGTAAGCAACCACTTAAAAAACCAAGGAATGCAACAGCAGTACCTCCAGCAACTTCCTTATGTTTGAGGGAAAAAAAGAACACAACAAAAACCAACAAAACCCCCAAAAAACTGTGTGTCAGAATTGTACTACCAAGAAGACAAATTCCTTTCTAAATTTACAAAAGCATAATGTTGCATTTTGGACTAGCCAGTAAATTCCCTGATCTCAATTTGAAAGCCTGCAGTAGTATTCATTGTCCCAAGCTGATCTTTAGTTGGAGAGAAAAATTGATAAAAACCACCAAAACAACCAACCTTGCTTCTGCTGAGAATGGGCAGGCATACGAAGTTCATCTTAACCGGTATTCTTCAGAAGCAGCCAGTCACTGAGGAAAAAATAAATAGATAATACGGATGCATAAGTAATAAAAGAGAACTTTTAAAGCTGTGTATAAGCAAGATCTGAAGGGTAAACAAAAGGAAAATAACTATCTTGTTACTTAATTCTGATTTAGAAAAAGGTCTGGAAGAAAACTCAGAAACTCCCGCTTCTTTCCATCTCCACCTGGTTAATTTTTTTTTTTTGTTATGTTTGTTTTGTTTTATCTCTAAATTCCAAACTAACAGTGATAGCTTGGTTTGCCACCTTCTCCTGAAGATCTTCCTACTCCTGAAGAGTATTCAGAAACATGTTTTGGAACACACTGATTCCTTAAATGAAAATTTACAAAAGGTCCTTACTTCTTACCGTTTATTCATTTTCTAATTAAACAAGGGTTAAAAACAAAGAACAGTAAATAATCTAATTAATAAGTGGCTCTTTTCTGAGAACTGAGCTGTAGTACAAAAGTTATGCCCATTTAATTGAATTCATTTAGAATCTGACTAGTTTAATCAGTGCAATCTGGTAATGAAGATTCATGATATTTGTTGAATTTAAGTGATAATTCTCTTGAGGCATCTGCTGAACAGTAGGGATGAAGAGCTGACGTATCAATTTTCAGCCAATCTGGGATGTGAAATTCCACATTACTTTGCAAGACCACTAATTGCATTTGTTTTAAAATGCTTAATTATAAACAGCAGCATCAGGGGAATGAAGGTCCTGTTTCTACCATGGGAATAGTGACTTCTCCTGCCTGGATGGACACCTGGTTAAATTGTCTCAGAATGAGTCATCAGAATTTACAAATCAGTGCCCACATTGCAGTCATCTTAGTCATCAGTGAAACTTGTTTGGTTTAATTTAGTCATTTTCCAATACTAGCTTACTTGGAGACAATACATGTTTTCACTGTGCTCATTAAGCCTTCTTGTTGTTCTACTGTAGTGGCATAATAGAGTAGGTTTAGCCTTAGGAAATTAGACGTACCACCGGTCCATCTTTTTACCTGCCCTCTTCTGCTACAGTTTTTCCTGCAAACATTTGGTCAGTGTATCTGAGTTTTTTGAAGGACTGATGATACTAACATTCCTGAAGGTTGTGTGAATATAACACCTCTGTGAGAAGAAAAATAAAAATCAATCAGAGCTTCAGCGAAGAAAAGATTAGAGTCAGTAGTTACATATTTGGCCATCCATTAAACATGCCTGCCACAACATTGTGCTGCTGTTTGCCACATTAATAGTGAAAAAATATAGAAAGAATCTGGGAATGTTTGTCATGAAATTACAGGATTTGTCATTACTATCTTAAATCTGGCTGCGAACTCCCAACCTCCCCCAGAGGAGACTGGAGGGAGGAACATCAGACTTAACTCTAGCATACAAACTGGACTGATAGACCTAACTCCTTCTGAGGGACAGGTTGTGGGCTCTGACTTTCTTCTCTGTATTTCCTACTCTAACGACAACCTTCTCAGTTTTTCACTAGCGTAAATCCTATTCAGATTTGTCTGCAACTAGTCTGCCTGCCAAGCGTGGGCTAAGGGTTTCACTTGGCAGCAGAGTACCACGTTAGGTACTGAAGTGCTTGGCTTCGTGATGCCATTGTGAGGCCTTAGGTGTTTTCAAAAGCATGGTAGTGGTTCACAGATACACCATAATTGGCCCCATAAGACCAAAACTCTACCTTTAAATTCTATATAGAAGTTAATTTACCTACTGATGCAAAGTGGCATTGAAGTAACCAGATTTATATCAGGAGTGAATTGGTTCCATGATTTAGATTGTTATATTTGCTAAGTACCCAAATCTTACCTAACAATTACAGTTCTTTTATAAATGTGATAAGCATAGAGGGGACACCTGATCACATATCATGTATATGTTGCTTATTTTTATTAAGTGACATACATGGAGAACAAGAACAGCTACTCTAAAGATCACATATAACATATATCTATCCAGGGACAGTGAATATTAAACAATATCTGGCTCTTGATAGAATTTTCATTTTCAGAACATTATGTACTTCACATAGTTTTTTTTATTGTACAGTGAGTAGTCAATTCAGACATGGAAAGTGTATTTTTCTATAATAGAAATTTTTAAGCAGGTGTCTTGGCATGCATTTTGTTTGTACTGTGCTTGAGGTTGTTTATGGCATTAGTGGTTTGTGTGTTTGTGCATGTTTGCATTCTGTCTGTTTATGAAGTATTTCACTGGTAGCCTTACACAGCATGTGGTTGGTCGAAGATTATTTTTCATTGCATGTGTAGTCATCATGCATTTTGCTGAAAGGCTTTTAAAGTAAGGTGGGTTAAACACTGCTTATCTGGACTTACATAAAGAAAGACAGACATGTAGGGTGTTCTCCTCTTCACAGAAATTTGATACAAAATATACCTGCACCACTTTAATAACAACTCTGTTAATAACTGGAACGTTTGTATGTTTTCTTATCCTAGATGTTAAAAATAATTAACAATTACTCATTATATTATAATAATACCATGCGTGTAAATATTTTTAAGTGAACTACAGAAACAAAACCAAACCTTTGACAAGGATAATTTAAATCCCTCCAGTCTGTATTTGACAGATAAGTATAGGCGATATTTTCAGGACTCACAGGCAGGTTTGTGAAATTGATCAGTGAATTACACTGGGCTTAGGGTGTTAGTTGATACTTTCCCTCGTGTTTTGAAAGTATAGGTTGTTTGGCACGTGTCTAACAAAACATTACAGGAATACTATTTGTAAAAAACATAGATGCTAAGTAGCTCTAGACACAGACATCAGTTCAGTAAGGATTTTATGAATGCTACAGAATAAAATACTGTTGCTTTGTTTAGATGCCTCACTGCTACTTTAAGAACATAATTCTCCCCACGAATCTTGTCCTACAGTTCAAGAAACATTGCTTCTGCAGAAATTACTGAGAATGCATGAAAATTAAAAGAAACAGAACTGACCAATAATAAATATTTATGAAAATTGCACTTGTATGTACAATTTCGTTGCTATTTTTACTAAAGTTCTTCACAGCTAATAAACTCCATGTATCAGTTCCGATTTTTTTTGAGAATTTTATACATGTATACCTCTCCTCTTCTTACCAGAATAATATTAGATACTTTAATGATGCTTCTTTTACATTGCTCGAGTATTTATTCATGAGAATTTAAAATACATTTCATTATCTGTCTTTGAATATGTGAATAAATTCAATTAATATCAGTGAAAACATTTCATTTATGCTGTGCACATTTTTTATCTACTTTCTGAATGTAAAATATTGTACTGCTGTATCATGTATAACACCATGCTGTGCTGCACAGCTATAGTTGCTTTTTGTGTATTTTGCTGTAAGATACAGTGAGACCTTTGCTTAAGAATAATTATTTAAGAGACTTTAAGTGAATTAGAAAGAAGATAGCTAGAGGTAGAATTCAGACCCTCCAGCTAATCTTTCTGCTTGTAACATGCCATAGCTATGTTATTCCTGAGAAACCTAAATTCAATCCATAGAAAATAACATTTCTATGCCTCAAGACATAGGAGCCATTCATACAGAAATGAGAAGTAAAATGTGTACAGAAACTTTACATCTTATGACAGTAGCAGCAGGTTCATAGTGTCAGGAAGAAAAAAAAAATGATGAAAGGAAGCCAAGCCTGACAAACTGAATTGTGGCTCATCTGAGTGTTGCTGAACTTTGTTTCACTAACAAAGCAGTGGTATTTTTTTCTTTTAATGAAATAATAATTTATAGTTAAATAAAGGGAAAATCATTAAAGTCCATTCTTATCACTGTAATATACTAAAGTAAATGTCTATGCACTATATAAATTCCTAGATATTGGAAACTGTATAGGTATTCATCAATATTTTAAATTCGGAGTAGAGAAGGGATTTTAGTAAAAGCAAAATGTTGATACAGTGGACTGAATTTTGCAATAATTTGTATGGAAATGTGTATCCATTCAGAATTGATGTAAATATCCAAATAACGACTATATAAGAA